AATATATATGAATTTAAAACAGCACAGCAAAAATAAAATTTTAAGGAAAAAAAATTACTGAGGATGAAATCAACACAGTTGTTTAGTAGAACACAGTCCCCTGATCCAAGGCAGGCTACCTATGGAGCCCTCAGTCTTTGCTAAAAACAGGAAAATAACTCTGGAATCAGGTGGACTGTTTTCTAAACTACATTATTTGACCTTTTTGCCTAGCCTTTAATCTCTAAATTAGATCTAACAACAATACTTATGACTGAGAGTAGCTGTGTTAGATAAATGTAATTGAAACCCATCTTCTACATAGAATTGTTTTTATCAATATTATCAATGTTTTTTTTTTCTCATTCAGTACTGGGAATTGAAATTAGGCCTTGGCAGTTGTGATCCTCCCAGTAGTCTACAGTTTCCGAGGGTACTAGGATTACAAATTGATTTGCCAGACCAATTCCTTTATTTATAAAGCTCTTCACACTTTCACATAGTTTCTCAGTTTATTTTCACAGTTCTTGTTACATAGCAAGATAAATATTTTCACATTTATTTCATAATGCAACTTGAAAAGGAAACATATGTCCAAGGCTCTGTACAATAAGTGGAAAAAATAGTTATGCTGATGTAAATTCAGTAAGAATTTTGCCTGGCTGTGCACAACCCAATCCTGGAGCCATGGGGGAGTCCTGTTTCACTGCCTCCAGGAAAAAAATAGTAAAGGAGAAATGAATTGTTTTAAGATAATAACTATACAAATTATATGAAAATTTATATAAAAATGTAATATGCAAATGCTATTAAGTTTTTAAAGAAGCCAAACTGTGCAACAAAATTATTATATAATCTTTCTTTTGAGCAGAATATATTTATTTATTGAGGGAAAGAAAGCTCCTGTCTGAGAGAGGGACAAGAAGGGGGGCCTGAGCAGGTAGTCCCCTATATAATCTTTTTTTTCAAGGTTTTAATATATTTATTTGAAAACCAAGTCTGTGAAAGAGCACACCAAATGGTCATCATGTGTTTTCTCTTCAGTCAGAGACTTGGAGACGAGTTCTTGAGGTGAGCGCACAGAGAGGCCACATGCATGGAGGAGCTGGTCCTGCTGGTCCTGCGAGGGCTCCCACTGCGCACTCTCCACAGCTGGCTGCGCTCTCCACAGCTGGCCGGGCTTTGAGTGGCCAGAGCCTGTCTGGTCCCTTAGTCATCGATATACTCAAAGGGCTCTGGGGGCTCTGGCTCTTGCTCTTCCTCCTCGATTTTGGGGGCATGTGCCACCACAGGTTCCACCAGTTCCTCAATGTCTTCGCTGGTGTCCTTCAGAATGATGATGCCTCCGATGGACAGTGGCTTGAAAGATTGGTATCTACAGGTCTCTGGCATGGTAAGGACCTTCAACTGAGCAGGCATAACTCGTCCTATATAATCTTATATAAGTATAAAGTCGTGGTAAGGCTAGATTCTTTGTCTCATCTTTAGTATTAATATCTGTGTTATTTTTCTATGATAAACATGTATAACTCATCTAAGCTACAGTACATTTTAAAGTTTTAAAAATTAACACTTATAAGTGATTATGTAATTTACATATTTATTTATTGTTTTTTTAGGGAAAGTTCTACAGCATGTTCAGGGTCCCACTACTAGATCAGACTAGTAGTGATCTGCCTGTTTACAGCCTCATAAGAGCTGGGATTACTTATGTACTCCACCACACCCAGTCTCAATTGCCATCTCAGTACACCAGCGTGGTAGGCCCAGGGGATTGAACCCCTGGCACCTACTTCTGCTTGCAGGTGCTTTAATTCACTGAGCTATTTGGCCCCCGTGAATATATAATTTAGAGCAATGCTTTTAGACACCACTTCCCTAAATTTTCCTGTATTCTATATATGAAGGATCATGATTTAGTCTAAGATGAGTCTGACAGTGCTGTCTTTAGAGTGGAAAGGAGGATTTAGGTACCCTAGTATTTGTGTTATACTCACAATCAGCTCTTTGTGCACAGGAGTGAGGGATCTTGTCAAACTCTGACCTGGCAGTATTTATTATACATACTGGGAGAGAGAGTAAAGCAGAGAGAGAGAGAGATAGAAAGACAGAGAGAGACAGAGAGAGACAGAAACAAAGACAGAGACAGACAGAGACAGAGACAGAGACAGAGACAGAGACAGAGAAAGACAGAGACAGAGAGAGCGAAGAGGAAGAGGAGAGGAGAGAGATAGAGACACAGACAGAGGAACAGACACACAGAAAGAGACAGAGACAGAGAGACAGAGAGAGATGGAGACAGAGGGAGAGATGGAGACAGAGAGAGACCCACAGAGAGAGACAAAGACAGAGAGAGAGACAGAGGAAATGGTGATATGTACTATCCATATGAATCTTCAGAAAGAGAAATGTTTCCGTTTCCCCATAGACCTTCTATCTATGTCTCTATCTGTGCTAAACCTCCTACTTTTCACTATTATAAGAATCAACTTTTGGGTGGTCTAGGCGGCTGGCAGAGTGGGTGCGAGAGCCGCCTCCTCCTCTGCCGCCTCCGCTGTCATCCCCTTGCCTGGGCAGTTCGCTGCTACTTGGGGAGAGCGAGGCGGGGCTGCCAGGGCCGCCATGGAGTGATTGAGGACAAGACCATTAAGCTTATGTTACCGAAGTGCATGTTTGGGATTTTGTTGAAGAAAGCTGGATATAGTAATCGGAAAGAATCTTGGAAGATGCTTGGCTGCTGTCTTTTCTCAGACTAGTCTGAAAGTGAATACTCCCATTCATTCTGGATTGGTGGATCTGAAGTACAAAATATTTTCCAGATAAGTACTGGAACATCATCTGTGATTGTCTTGAGAAAGAGGCCATCAGAAGGAGATGATCAAAGGGAGAAGGACTTGTGTATTAAGTATTTTGACCAGTGGTCTGAATCAGATCAAGTGGAATTTGTGGAGCATCTTATTTCACGAATGTGTCATTACCAGCATGGACATATTAAGTCTTACCTGAAGCTCATGTGGCAGCGGGATTTTATCACCGCGGTACCAGGTAACTGCTCTTGGCTTGAACAGCTGAGCAGTGAAGTACTCAACCTAAGCATCTAGGTGGGGCTGAATGGGATCTTTATGAAATGCACAAATTAGTAGTGTATGCAAGAGTATTTCTTTGGGACATACACTGTACCTTCATTGTACAGTATAGCATTTGAGGAATTATAATTTAATATCTACCTAGGAAATCAGGCCATTTGTATGATTGTTAATTATTGATCATTACTGGTAATTCATTTAGCTTGTTTAATATTTGCTTTTTAAAAATACTTTTTATTTTGATCCAATCTGCATAGAATTAGTCTGTACTTTGCCTTTATATGAAATTTAGTAATTATGTGGGGTGTGCACAAAGTTTTGATTTTCAGACTTCAGTACTGTAAACAAAACCCAAAACACACTGAGAAAACTGGTAATTTGTCTTGCTATATTAAAGAAAATCCTCTTATTATTAAGAAAAAAAAGAATCAACTTTTATTAGAAGAGAATTTTGCTTATTATTTATCTGTTTCTTTATAACAACATACGTCAAATGTTCACTTATTTTAAATAATATAAGCCATTTATTTATCAAAATGTACAGTTTAGATTATCTTAACAAAACAAAGCCAAGGGGCTGGGGAGATAGCTCAGTAGAATAAGGGCTTTCCTGGCAAGCACAAGGGCCTGAGTTGAATCCCCGGTTCTACTAATAAATAAATAAATAGCCATTTTTAAATGTAATTCAACTATCTCTAAAGAAGCAGAGGAACCAGGAATGAAGAGTTGAAATAATAATAATAATTACTTTTTAGTAAATAATTCAGTTACTTCAAATTTTATCCACTTAAGATTTAGCAGCAAAAAAGAAAAAAACTCAATGTCTGTCAGAAGACAGAATTTTTACCATACATTTTCTTTCTCAAAGGCATCTTGCCATCTAAAGCCAGCAACATAAGCCAGAGTCAGCAAAACAGGCAAACCACTTATGCTTTTGCTTCAACATGCATTTCAAAGATGGATACAATTAATAAAAAAAGCTGCAATATTTAATTCTTTGGGCTGAACATATATTCACTAGAGTAAAACTGAAGTTGTGGAAACATAAAATGAGATAAATACAGTAGTGGAAGTTTACAAGTTATCCTTTTTTTCTCAAAAGGCTCCAATTAGGAGGTTGATCCTCTTTTTAAGCAAAGCTTCTTATACAAATAAACAGAAACAATTTAGTGCACAGAAAATCTTTGAACATAAAAGTGTAATAAAAATATGAGATATTATAGAGCCTAAAATATTTGAAACCAGAGGAGAAAGAACTATTTAAGTATCTCCAAGGTCAAACTTATGCATTGCACAGAGGCAAAAATATTCAAAAAGATTTTAATTTATATGTTAATTGAAACATAGAGATCTTTCTTTCATTGGAATGATAAATTATCACAACACACTTCTCATTATATAGACGAAAGTTTCCCATGGCCCATATGTTCTGCAAAAGAAGATTCTACCATTTAGACATAAACCAACCTTTCCTCTTCTCCCTTGGCTCTGTAGTGCCAAACTCAGTACGAAGGAGGAGTGCCTCCCAGTAAGATTTTATGTGCAGCATTTAGTCTTTCTGCTATAAAAGAGCTTAACAATAAGACTTTTGGGAAGCATGGAGAGATGATAGGATACAAATGTTGGAGATGGGGTACTTCTTATTTCAAAGAAAACTGTTCTGAAAAATAAAGAAGGACCTACCTATTCCTTCAGACTTCAGGAGGATATGATACAAAGTAAGTGAGAACTGAAATTCCCACACTAGGGGAGAAAAGGGAAATCACAAAATAGAAAAAGCCATTAGAAGAAAAGAAGAAGAGAAAATAGAGTCATTTGTAGAGACATTAAGAGGTTAAGAAAGCACTCTCTTCTTTTCCCTGGACCTTCCAACCTTAGTTCATAAAGGAGAGTCACAGTCACATAGAAGAGAGCTGAGGCCATGGTGGAGAAATCAGAAGAGGAAAGATCTCGACTCCTTTGCTGCAGGAGAACAAATTTTTCCTGAGACACTTCAACTCTGTCTCCACTGACCTACTTTTCTTCTGTGCAGAGGTAAACATACTGCTTCTCTTGTGCTGAGGGAGTTTTGTCAACAAAGTGGAAGGGCAGTTAGTGGAACTGACAGGAAAGAAAAGATTTGTCCCTGCCTAGAGACCTTGATTCTCTTCAGGGGAAGTCAGAGGCAAGGACTAGGCAGACCCTAAGGGGGACATTTGGGTTAAAGTCTGCCACAATTTTAACTAATCAAATAAGCTGCTACATTTGTGGGTGATTAAAAAATTCCTTCTGGTAATGTATCAGACCTGGTCTTCATGGCCAAGGGATTACTCTATAGCTCAAAACTTAAGTTACAAGGATCTCTGACCTTTCTGTGTGTTTGGTCTGAGACCTATCCCAGCCCCCCAAATCTCCCTAAATAGTTGAGTGAAGGAAAAAGGCCAAGGATATCAAGGCACACCATATGAGATATTAAAAACTACCACGGAAGATCCATGAAAAGAATCTGGTCTAGAAAATTCTATCTGCTTAGAGGTTGAATCATGTCAATGACAAATTTTTAGCCCCTCTCCTCAGGCCTCCTAAAACATTTCATTGAAGTCAGAGGCCCTTACAACTGTGGTGATCCTAAGAGGAAAGAAGGTATTTCTTGAAGAAAGACAGCTTTGGTGCTGCAGCTCCACCTTTATGCTAGCACTCAGGCTTGTCATCTTCATGGTAGTTTAAGAAAAAGACAGACATTAAATCCTTTTCTCAAGGATGTAAATTACTGAAGCTTAAAGCCTCACACACATATGTATAGTGCACAGAGCACCACTCTGTTCTTCTGCCTTTTTTTTTTTTTTTTTTTTTTTTTTTTTTTTTTGCGGGACTGGGGATTGAACTCAGGACCCTGTCCTGCCAGGCAGGTGCTTATTCTATTGAGCTATCTCCCTGGCCCCTCTGCCTCTTTATGTACTTTTGAGGGCCTAAATGGGGGACATGTGGTAACTTCTTGTTTCACAAAAACCAGTAGTAGAAAAATAAGTAATAACATGATGTTTGCACATGTGGATCTGATTTCAGTTACCAATACAGACAAACCTGAAAGAGTAAATAAAATATGAAAGGTACAATAGATACTGTGAAAGGAAAAGAATTTGTTCAATTGGAAGGAAAAATTGGTCAGAGGGAAAGGACAAAAGAAAGAAAGGGAAAAGATATATTTATGTATATATGCAGGATAGTTTGGATAATTGTACTGCCAATTTCCACTGGTCTTTTTTTTTTTTTTACATAATTTTGTTGGTAAACAAATAGCAATGAGACAGTTTCAAATCAAATTGGTAGGCCAGTTTCAATAATTAACACATTGCATACATTCTTCTGAGGGGTTAATTGCTGTAGAAGATGCGGACATGATATCCTATCTACAAACACCATTAGAACAAATCACTCTATTCATTAACACAATGCAACCATATATCTATCCTAACAACTTTGAATACACAGATACAAAATGGACATTCATCTGTATATACTTTTCTTGGTTAAGTTCCGTTATTTGAATATTACAGGTATGTTAACTCAGCAAAATAATCTAAAAGACTTCAGTACTCCATAATAGTATTGGGCTGTCTGCTTCACTGGCAATGTCAGAAATTCTTGACCTGAGACCCTACAGCTCAACATAACAGCATAGCTTTACTTCTTCTTTTTTTTCATAATTTTATTGATAAACAAGTAGCAATGAGACAGTTTCAAATCAAATCGCTAGGACAGTTTCAATAATTAACACACTGCATACATTCTTCTTAGTGGTTAATTGCTGTACAAGATGCAGACTTGAGATCCTATTTACAAACATCATTAGAACAAATCATTCTATTCATTAAGAGAACGTAACTATATATCTACCCTAACCACTTTGAATACACAGATACAAAACGGACATTCATCTGTATACCCTGTTTTGCTAAGTTCTGTTATTTGAATATTATAGGTGTGTAAACTCAGCAAAATATTCTAAAAGAGTCCAGTAGCCCATAATAGCATTGGGACTTCTATTTAACTGGCAATGTCAGAAATTATTGACCTGAGTCCCCCACTCAACATAACAGCATGGCTTTACTTCCTATATTTCATCTTCATACTTTTCTACTGGATGGTTAAGACCAAGGTAAAGCAGGACCTATTGCAACAAGAGTTGTAGCTTTTGGGTCTGAGAAGTTCAGTGAAATCCCCTCAGGATTTATCCTGAGATCCTGTACCTCAGATTGTAGAACCATTATCAGTGTCAGCCATGTGGATGAGTCACAGCCATTGCTTGGACAATGTGCTCTCTGTGAAAGCCTGAGAGAGTGTTTTCTCTCCATGTGACTCTCCTTAGACACACTGTACATCATCAATCACTTTCCTCTTTGGCCCCATAATCTCCTTGATCAGAAAATTTGGGACACTACCGAGTTACATGACATCAGTACAAGTTCTCATATGTCCTGAGTCTTAATTGACCTTAGAAGGTTAAAAAATGTTGGCTTTCCTTGTAGCCCTCCTTTTTCTCTAATTTTGGTCTGCAAACTTAGGTTGTTAACCATCCAGAAGACAAGCTTATTGTTATTATCAAACATCTTAGGCTATTGAGCTTAACCTCAATATCTCTCTGCATATCAAACATCTTAGGCATAATAAGGAACAGGTATTTTTCATCAAGTATTGATATACTGAACCTTAAGTCCCTACATAATATGATAAAAAAACATTTAAAAGTTGGATTATATTTTAATAATAGGATAAAGAATTATATACTTCTCATGTTTGCACATAAGTCCAAACATCTCACCATATACAACCTTAAAGCAGGACAGTCCCACAATATTCCTTTTCCTGTCTCTTGCTTTCTTTCACCACCCCCTTCTTCTTGAACATCCACCTACCTGAGAGACATCATAGCAGCAACTGGCATGTCATGACAAGCAGCCCATATTCAGAATACCAGAATGACAGGCACTCCAAACAAGAAACTACTATTACAAATTACCATCTGCAGTGCAGTAGCTTAGTTCACAGGTATCAGTATATATAGTTAGTCAGGGTGAGAACCTTTTCAATTAACTGCTAGATTTGAAAGGGGCAATTAATACCTATTTTTTTTCTTTTCATTCTTATTTTTTTTTCTTTTTAATTTATCAGAGCGTTTTGTTGTTGTTTTGGCTTTTAAACCAATTTTGCATGTTTATATCTGGTAACCTAAGCAACTAACTTAGAGATAACATCACAATGGAATGCCCATCTCTGACAAGATTAACCAAAAAAGGGGAATACAAATGAATGACCATTTTGTATCTGTACACTCCAAATAGTTAGGATAGGTATACAGCTCCATTCTCTTAGTTCAATGAATAGAGGTTTGTTCTAATAGTGTTTGAGACAGGATATCGGGTCTACATCTTGTACAATGAATTACCACTAAGTCAACAATATGCAATGTATTAGTTATTGAAAATGTACTAGTAATTGGTTGTGAAACTGTCTCATTGTTATTTATTTCTCAATAAAAATACTAAAAAATAAAAGTAAATTTAAAAAAGAAAAAATAAAGATAACATCATGCAATACAGCAATACAGAGCTATCATTCTGTTTAGTGAAATTTTGTATTATTTATAATGTCTTTTTATAAGTTTTGAATTCTTTAGAAAACAATTTTAAAATATAAGTAATAGAAAAAAAAAAGGTCAATGCAACCTCATACTTACAGAAGTGAGTTCTGACAAGAAACACAGTAGGACCTTATGTTTCCTTTAATGCTTTACAACTCCATCACACTGACTAAATTCTGTCTTGAAAATTTGCCCACACTAGCTTGGAAGACTATTTTCCATAAGCTCAACAATAAAATTCACTTGAAATGTGTCCTTTGTCTCGTCTGAGGACTTCTTTAGTAGAAATACAGCTTGGAATTTGAAAACTTCGACAATTGTCCTAATGTTGATGCTTCTTTGACTGTGGCATATAACTTGGGTTCTTTGACAATCTAATGCTTATGAGTAAAATAAAGATAATAATACCAAATGTATATGTCACATAGCTAAGAATGAAATAGTAAGCTATGCTTGTATCTTTGTTTGTATTAGCATCATGTTCTTTTTTCTTTTAAAGTTAGTCTGAAAAGGACAAGTTTGCTATTTAATTATAAAGTGAGCCCACTCATGTGGACCTTCTCCAAAGAATTTAAAAATCTGAGCTAATTATCGCTAGCATGAAGATTTAAAAAAAAAAGTCATCAGTTTTTCTCCTGGACTCCACCGTCAGCTACAAGTATCTGGGCATTCCTTCTGACCTGTTTATTTTTCTTTTTTTCTTGTAACTGGTGATTGAACTAGTGCTTACCAGGCAGACTTATTCTACTGAGCCATCTCCCTGGCCCCTACATTTTTTTTTCTGGTACCAGAGATTGAACTCAAGATCTTGTGCTTGCCAGGCAGGCTCTTATTCTACTGAGCTATTACCCAGCCCTGCTGACCTGTTTCTGTCTCTTCTAGTCTCTACCCACATGCAGCCAATTATAGTGAGCACAACTTGATTCTCTTACTCAATCAAATGTCTCATAATGTCACATATTTCTCCAATATGTCCTAGAAGTTCCACTGATGTTATGTATAGTAGAAGACTTAGGATGGGGTTGTCCCTTAAGAGTATGGGATTTGACTCACTTATTCTTTTCTTTTTTCTAGAAGCAGTGCCAAGGATGGAAATCTCTGTCTTCTCTGCTCTCCTGCCTCTGTTATTGTTGGCCTTCGTGAACCATGGCTTGAGCTGGGCATGGACTGCTCCTGACTGCAACATAGGAGACAGCTCCCTACTGGCTAACCTCTCCTACTACACCCCAATCTGCTCCTTGGTCCCAGGACTGTACCTTTTTGCATCATGCTCCAATATTAAAGATGTGATTCAGACACTGAGAGCAGTACCCCATGACAGAGAAGCACTTTGCCTCCAAGGAATGGTTCCTATCCTGCCACCCAATGCCTTTGCTAACTTCTTCTCCCTAAAGCTTCTGAGGCTGCAGTTGGGCAACCTCAAGGTTACCTCTAAGACTTTTCAAGGATTGGACCAACTGCAGCACCTTCACTTTGAGCATCACGCTCCCTGTTGCATGGGTCTATTCCTTCCTTCAGATGCTCTGGAGGCCCTCATATCACTCAATGACCTTTCTTTTCAAGGCTACTGCCTGAATTATAGTCAGAACATTCAGCTGCCAATCAGCCTTACTTGTCTGACCCTGAGACACAGCTGTTTGACAAAGCTGCAGGAATTGCAGGAGATCTTCTCAAATCTTGTGCCTGGTTCCTCTAACTCAGTCAGCCCCAGATCATTGGTATCCTTTTTGGAGGTACTAGATTTGTCATCCAACCTGCAGCTGAACCAGGCAGGTGATGGAGCTCTGCATAGCCTCCAGCTGCATTCCCTCAGATTGGATAGCACCCCATTAAGTTCAATAGGCCTTCTAGGCTCAGGACTGCTCCAACTGGGCTTTCTCTCCCTTGTGGGTACAGGTGTAAAAAAGATGCCCGGGAATGTGGTACGTTACTTTGCCCTTCATGCACTTGACCTTGGAAGGAATCAAATCCAAGACATATGGGATCCAGATCTTACAAACTACCATTCCCTCGAACTCCTTAGCCTTCATGACAATGGCCTTCAGTCTCTTCCCATCAAGTTCCTGAGTGCTCTGCCCCAGCTCCAGAGGCTCAACCTGTCCATGAATAACCTGGGCTCAACCTTAGTGCTCCCAGAAGGGCTGGTTAGTGCAAAACTGAAAGTGCTTGATCTGTCCTACAATGAATTTTGTAATCTGCCATATGGGGCCTTCTCCTTTCTTCCTCAACTTCAGGAGCTCTGGCTGGGTGGCAACAACATCTCCAACTTAATGAATGGCACTCTGGAAGGACTCATGTGGCTGAAGACACTAGACCTGAGTTGGAATCAAATTAAGGTGCTAAATCCAGGCTGGCTCTCTTCTCTTCCTTCCCTCACTTCACTGAACCTCCTAGGCACCTATTTAGAGCATATCTCAGGCAAGCAGCTCCAGGGTCCCCACAAGCTGCGCCATCTGCTGCTAGGTTCTCATGATATGTTGGATATCTATCCTCCCTGGCCTCCAGAACTGCTCAGCTTGGAGGTGAGGGCTGAAGGCGTTATCCAATTCATAGTCCACAATGAAGAGCCATTCTTGTTCCTGGAGAATCTTACCTTACAAACTTCCAATATACTATTTCATACAACAGTCTCAGACAACACCACAGTCTATTTCCCTTCCCTATATCACCTCACTTTGAGAGGCATCAGTTCCTATGTTTTCTCAAGCCACCAGCCCCAGAAATTTTTCTCACAGCTTCCTCGATTAGAACACTTGCACTTCTGGTCTGATCACATGGACACAGATAACATGTGTCTTCTCAGCATGCCCAGGCTGCAAGTGTTGGAGTTGGGAGACCTAAACTTCCTCTCTGAGTTCAGTTTAGTGAAGCTGGAGATGCTGTTAAAGCAAGTACCTCAATTACAGGTTCTGGCATTGAGCCATTTGAATCCTGGGACTCTCTCTATGTCCACCTTCAAGGATTTGGGTCACCTCCGGCTGTTGTTGCTTAACTCTGAGTACTCACTAGGGTTGGACAGTAGCCTCCAGGAGCTAATCCCCCAGATGCCACAATATGTTTATTTCTCAGATGTCACCTTCACTTGCCAGTGTAAAAGTTCTTGGGTGGGTCCTTGGGCAACACAGGCTCCCAACACCTTTGTGTATGGACTAGAAAAATCCATCTGCATGGCAAACACTTCTGATTACTCCAGGACTCCCTTCGTCTCTTTCCTTTCTGATCACTGCCCACATGATCCTGAGTTTTGGGTCTTTCTCATCAGCTTTAATCTTATACTCCTGATGTCCACTCTTGCACTATTTGGATGTCCCAAGTGGTACTGGCTTCACTACCTCCAAAATCTTTTTCATTCCTGGTGGTGGAAATTATGTGGGCGTGGTCCCAGAAGACAACTTTATTATGATGTCTTTATATCCTATTGTCAGCAGGACAAAGCCTGGGTGCTGAAAGAACTGGTTCCTGCTCTGGAGAAGCCTCCTCCAATAGGTGAGGGCTTGAAACTGTGCTTGCCAGACAGGGACTTCGGACTTGGTTGGGACAGGATGGATGCCACAGTAGCCAGCATGGAGACTAGCAGAGCCATTCTCTGTGTGCTCAGCTGCCAGGCCCTGAAAAGTACCTGGTGCAATCTGGAGTTACGGCTTGCTACCTACCACTTGGTGGCCAGGCCTGCAGTGGCCCGCCTCCTTCTGCTGTTTCTGGAGACTATTGATAGACAGAAACTATGTAGTTATCACCGTCTCACCAGGTGGCTCCAGAAGGAAGACTATTTTGATTTTCATCAAGGGATGGAGGAGTGGGATTTTTTCTGTGAGCAACTTCAGAGAAGACTCAGGGAAGCAGGACAAGAAAGAGAAGATTAAGGGTTATGAGTGATTCAGGATTTCAGGAATGTCTTTCAACAGTGGTTTGCATGATATCAAATCACAAGGCAGGCTCACCAAGGGGGTTTCTCAGTGATTTTTAATTTAAGCTTCCTTCTAGCACCAAACATGGCATAGATAAGGATACCTAATCCCTGTGGGAAACATATTTGAAAGTACTGGAAGAAAAGTATTCATTCAAAAAAAATTCTGATATGGTTGCCAGTCCTTTCATAAGACCTCCAAAAAAGAATACATGTAAGGTATTCTTTTCATTACATGTAATGTAAACACTGTATACTGCAAACATGCATCCCCCAAAAAAGAAGGGCTCAAGAATGGGTGGAGAAAGGAAGAAGGAAAGGAAAAGGGATGAAAAATAAGTTTGAATGTATTCTGTACATGTACCAACTTCTCACAATAAATGTAAATATATACTGTACAAAAATATTAATAAACTGAATAATGTTTTTATTTTTATTTATTTATTTATTTATTTATTTTTATTTTTTGGCAGAACTGGGGATTGAACTCAGACCCTTGCACTTGCTAGGGAAGCGCTTATTCTATTGAGCGATCTCCCTGGCCCCTGAATAATGTTTTTAAAGAAAGAATGTATAAAAAGGCTACCAGAGTACCATGGACATTTTCCAAAATGCATTCATTCTATCTATGTTAGAATCACTTGTTTGGTAAAGCTTTATGATTCCAAAATAATGGAAAAAATAAATAATCTATTTGTCAGTGATTTGAAGTGAGTTTGAAACTAGACTGACTGTTCCTCAGGGTTCCAAAAATTCAGCATTTTCTAACTCTTGAAGTTCTCACAAAAAGTCATTAAATGAGTGAGAGCAATTATTTTTAGTCTATTGACACTGAGGAATCCAAATGCAAAAAAGCTAACTGATATACCATCATATGATACTTGTATATATTAATTCATGTATCTAGTGTCTGTCTGTCTGTTTGTTACTGCCTCTCATCAACCTCTAACCAATGACAACTTCATTTTCTATGAAGTTAAAATAGCCAAAAGGAAGTAAATATCTTCATAAAGCACATATATGATCTATTTCCAAGAATATTACATTTCCAGAAATTTTACATGAAAGTCTAGGTGTCCCCAAACAGAATGATAAAGGACAGTGATAAAAATACATTAGCATGCACCAAAATATTCACTGTTCAGCAATATTTAGTGCTATGAACCTATTAAAAATCATGTTTCAAGGGCCTTCCAAATTGGTCAGCAGATTAAATTTCCTGCTTAGGCAGACATAGTGGTCAGGAGTTTGATCCCAGGCCTGCTGTGCCAGCCCCATCCCCAGGGGCACACTGAGATGTTTATTGAGATTGAGCATGGTGGTACGCCCCTGTACTCCCAGCTCTTGGGAGGCTGTAAACAGGAGGATCACTATGAGTGTGATCTATGCATTGATACCCTGTAACCCTGTATAACCCTGTCCTAAAATATCAAAAAAAATCACACATAAAGAATATTTAATGCTATGTTCAGAAAAAGACTTAACATATAAGGGCTGGGGAGATAGTTCAGTAGAATAAGCACCTGCCTGCTAGCACAGGGTCTTGAGTTCAATCCTCAGTAGCAAAAAAAAAAAGAGAAAGAAAAAGTAAGAGCAAACAAAAGTCTTGTTGACTGGCATGCACTATAATTCCAAATATATATATTTGGATATATATATATATATATATATATATATATATATATATATTTCCCAGATAAATATACATACTAGAAATGTAAAATTATTACCTTCTCAAGATGGTTCTTGTCTATAGTATCTCTGGGTATTTCTGGGAGATTGTGTGAACTCCTTTTCCAAATACAACAAATAGTACAGCTAAGCAGATTTCAGTTTCCTTACCTAAGTAGGCTGGAAGCCTATGAAAATGTGAAGCCTTTCAAGGCCAAGTTTTTCAGCCTCTAAACTGCTGGAGTTTTTTCTGAGATTCTTTTTCACTCTAAGGCCTGCAAAAGGAAGACTCTCCCTCCCCTATCTGGGAAGCAGGCATGAATCTGGGACACTTTGTTTCTATTATCTTAGGCCTCTGAACCTAAAAAATTCCAGTCTCTTGCTCATTTCCAAGGTTCTGCTTGAGGTGTCCTTCATTTCAAAATTCAACTTCACAACTGTTTCTTTGATTACTTGTGGAAAAAAAATTTGGTCCCTCTATTTAGCCATCCTAAAAATTTACCTCATAGATTCCATTTCCTAGTTCCTAAGGTGTCCTAGGATCTACACAGTTTTTAACATTTAAAATAATAACTTGTCCACTGTAGAAAATAATGTGTAAGATCCTTGAAAAATCATTTCTGGAAAAAAGTTTATCTAAATGATCATAAAAATGAGAAAATGCATTCAATCACATTGGTTATAAAGGGAATGCAACTTGAAATAACACAACACTACAACATCTTTCCCAACTGTTTTTGTTTCCAAAAACTGACAGGAGCCAGATATGATAGCACAAGCCTATATTCCCAGCCTTTGGGAGGATGAGGCAGGAGGATTCTGATGAGTACAAGGTCAGCATGGGCTACCTAGTGAGTTCATGCCCAGCCTGAACTATGTAGTGAGACTCTAACTCAAATATTCAAGAAAACAAAAACAAAACTGACATAACATGAACTGGCAATAGATAAAGAGCAATGGCAATCATCATGTGTTACTAATGAAAATGTACATCTGGTTCATCATGTTTGTTTGTTTTGTTTTTGCGGTACCGGGGATTGAACTCAGGACCCTGCACTTGCAAGGCAAGCACTTATTCTAATGAGCTATCTCCCTGGCCATCAAAAATGTACATTTGGGTAACCATTTATGAAATACTCTCTAATGCTGTCTATTACAGTGGAATGAATGGATTCCCTAAGTACTAGTAACATCACATACACACAATCTAAATTCTTATAAATATATACCAAAAGATATGAATAACATTACACACAGAACCATTATTTATAGCAACCAAAAACTGGATGTTACACAAATGTCTAGGGATGGAAGCATGAGGCATGGACATGCAAAGGAATATTACATAAGAATGAGACTAAACTATACTGATGTGAAAGAAGACATATGTAAGTATGAGGGAAAGATTCCAGATGAAATAAGTATACTACATGAATTTATGTCCTTTTCAAAAGCAGACAAATTGATATAATGGTGATTATTTCTGGTAAGGGGAAGTGTAGTATTTTGGAATGGGGACAGCAAAGCTTTTCAGATGCTAGATAATGTTCTATTACTTTTCCAATGGGGATGCATGTGTACAGTTTAATAATTCAGGAAACCGTATATATTACAGTGTGTGCCTTTAGGTAACTGTTTTAAAGTTTAAAAAACTAGCTAGATCAATACACTTGCTGCTCAGATACTGCCATTGACCTTTTATTACAGCTAAATCAGGATTAAAAATATCTTCACATAAAACCTACACAAATATCTTAATCTTATGACTCTCCCCCCACTATCCTTCTGACAAAAACTCTTCCTATTTTTCCTATTTTGCTTATCCTGCAATAGCCACACTGGCCTACTTGAGATTGTTCCAATACGTTATACTCTCCTTTGTATCTGTTTTCTATAATTGATAGTTGCTTTTACTGGAAATATAACCCCTCTAGATAACCATGGTTTGCTCTCCATATTAAATTCAGTGTATTGTGCAATTTTCTTATTTAGGTTATTTTTTTTCTCTATAATAGGATATAAATAATGTGAAAGCAGAGATTTGGAGGTTGTTTCTACAATATCACAAGGAACTGCACTGATGTTTAGCACTTGGTAAAGCATTTAAAAAACATTTGGGGAATAACTGAATGGCAATTAATTTTCTTAAATTGTTAGTTCTTTATGTTCTACATGATTTGAAACTCAAATATATCTGATAAACTTTGTAAGTATAGACATTTGATGTGCAGAGAATGATTACTTCTTCTTCTCCTCTTCATCTTTCTTCAAAATAGACATAGAGAACCTAATAGACTTTCCCACTTTAGCTATTATAACAATCTCTTCTACTACTTAGTTGTCACCAGGAAGCTTCTGCTATACATGTATACCAGAGAAAAAAAAAGAGATAGTGTTTACTTTTACATCTTCCTATTCTTTGGGGAATTGTAAGATTCAGTGTTTGATTGTAGATGAAATTCAGAAATGATTTCCTTTCTTCAAGAAACATAATCAAATCACTGAGAGCCCCAAATCTCAAAAGGCCATGATGAAAGCAAATATATATACATACATATATCTTACCTGTAATCTTGACTTTCACTGGTCCACTAACATGTACCTTGAAGTTGAAAAAATATTTTCTATTAAGGCTGACTCTTGGCAACCCATGAATAACTACAGACTCAATCATCTGATTTCTTGGAAGTCCTTCATTTGTCTACAGCTCTGTGGAATAGTATTTTCTTTCCCATCTCCAATCTCATGCACATGCAAGGAGTATATGAGAACATTTTATCACGTAAGCCATCTTTACTTAGTACTTTGCAAAAACTATTTATTAATTCTACTTATTTTTTTTCTCATCTTTAACAAAATTAAACCATTTAGAATAAAACTGGCAAAAATTAGGCCTAAAGTTGAGTTTAGATATCTTTTTTCCATGAGTTCTGAATAAAATGTTTCAATTATTTCTCATTTCCTTTTAAAATATGAGAAATTTATATGCATAGAAATAAGCTTAAGATTTAAGAAATGATGTAAATTAATATAAATAGCTATATAAAATATTTAATCTTATGATTTTTGTTATCTGAAGGGTGAATATAGCAGATTTCTCTTTCCAGAAATGTCTTCTCCCCAAAACTTATACATTTCATTTTTGTTCCATTAGATTAAGTATTATTTGGTAATATGTAGTGGCATTATATTTTTTCTTTTTTTATTTATATTTTTTCTTAAGTAGTAAAAATATTATATCTATATGTGTTGTTGACATTATATGCACAGGATTTCTTCTAAATGATACTATTAGACAAGTATTACCCCTGAAGCAAGAAAAGTAAGTTCCAATGGTGACACAAATAACACTTCTCTAAAATATAAAATTAACTGAAACAGTTAAGACAATCCTGAGTAAACAAGAATATGTATATAGCATAAAATGATAATCCATTGAAATATAAATTATTGACACAAGATAGTAGGGGACATGACTCTCCAAAAGACTTTCATAATTGAAAAAAATATTTCCTTTAAAACGTTTAACAAATTAACTTGACATAACCCAAGGACACCAGATTTAGGCAAACTCAATTTGTTACATTAATTTTTATACAGACTCAAGGGCAATGAGAGTTTACAAACAACTAATTTCAAGTGAAAGTCCTTTATGTGGATAGTGACCAGAAAAAAACCCTAATATTGTCTTCCTATATACAAATATACGATTTCTCAGACTCAAAATCATAGGTTCTTAACTGGAAAAATATTTCTTGATTTATTGAATACTTGTTATGAAAGCCAAAGATATTTCCAAAACTGGAAAACAAGTTGAAATTCAACAAAGATATATTAAAATTTTACTTCTTTTTTTCTGGCTCAGGCTGACTTAAGGGCAAGTGTGGTGTGGCATGTGGAGCTGAGGATTGAACTGCTGTCCACCAAACCTGATTGGGTTTGCCCAGGCAGGCACTTAAACAATTGAGCTAACTGGCAAGCCGCTAAAATTTTACTATTATCTCCACATTTTTAAACTCTATGAAGGCAAGTTCTATCATAGCCACAGCTGTTTCTCTGGCACTTATAATACACATGATACAATGAAGAAAATTTTTGTCTTTTTGTTTATTTCTTCTTTGTAAGAGAAAGTCCTTTTTAGTCATGACTTGTACTCTGACTAACACGTTAGTCTTTCTTTCAAAATCGTGGCATTCAGGGAAGATGGCTCAGTAGAATAAGCACTTGCCTGGCAAGCGCAAAGATCTGAGTCCATTCCCCGATTCCGCCAAAAAAAAAAAAAAAACAAAAAAAAAAAGTATGAGATTCAAAATCATGACAAACCTTATATTAACTATTTTTATTTTCTAATTATTGTGTAATGAAGTTTACACTAAACTATAAATTAAAATATTTTAAAGAATTACATTGCCTAATAAAATGAATCAGAATAAAGTGCTAAGGAAACAAAATTGGAGGTGTTTGTTTTGTTTATTTGTCTGCATATTTGTTTAAGACAGGGTCTCCCCATGTTACCCAGACTGGTCTTGAACATGTGCACTTATACAATCCTCCTAACTCAGGCTCCTGAGTGCTTGAACTATATGCATGTACCACTATGACCATCTAGAATTAAATTTTGATTCAATTATTAACATATGGCCTGAAAGCAGCCAAAGACAGAGAGAAATGCACATTTCAGATTTTTCCATATGAGAAATACTAGATTATGCATCACAGTAAGATATAGAAAGGTACTAAATCACTGTCTAATAGAAAGAAAATAAAATATATGGGGGCAATGAAATTAAAAAGAACTATGAAATACTCTCACAACTATAAAGTATATAAATCTTTAATTTTCCCAGCAGCTTTCATCCCTGTAAAATGTGCCAGAACAGGGAACTTGGTTACAGAATCTCAGACCAGCCGCTTTCCCACAGGTTAACTGGCAAGCAAAGATAGTACATATACATGTAGAAGTATATAAAAAACATATATCCAGAACAATTTAGAGACGAAAGCAAAGGAATGAATCTTTTTTACACCATACTATATATTGTATACTGCATAACAGATCAAGCTGCCTAAAAAAGAAAATAATTCATACATTGAACCTTAATATAGATAGCACACAGCATAAAAGAATGAAAGATCATGTGTTCTTTTTTTTCAAAATTTTATTGATAAACAGATAGCAAGGAGACAGTTTCAAATCGAATCGGAAGTACAGTTTCAACAAATAATACACTGCATATATTCTTCTTAGTGGTTAATTGCTGTACAAGATGCGGACTTGAGATCCTATTTACAAACACCATTAGAACAAATCATTCTATTCATTAAGAGAATGCATCTATATATCTATCCTAACCACTTTGAATACACAGATACAAAATGGACATTCATCGGTATACCCCATTTGTTCTAAGTTCCGTTATTGAATATTATAGGTATGTAAACTCAGCAAAATATTCTAAAAGAGTCCAGTAGCCCATAATAGCATTGGGTCCTCTGTTTAACTGGCAATGTCAGAAATTATTGACCTGAGTCACCCACAGTTCAACATAACAACATGGCTTTACTTCCTATATTTCATCTTCATACTTTTCTACTGGATGGTTAAGACCAAGGTAAAGCACGACCTGTGCAACAGGAGTTGTAGCTTTTTGAAGACCATGTGTTCTTAAGTGAAAACTTCTTTTTTCACTACCATTTTGAAATGCCATGACTACCTTGAATTAACAGAAAGTGAAAGTAAATATTAATCTGTGCCCCATCAAGCAGTATATTGAGACGGAGTCCTTTCATTTATCTTGATTTAGGTTTATAAAAAGGATGAGTTAAGGTTTTCATTCTTTGATCAATCTTATATCTGGTGATCTAATCAACAAATTTGATGATAAAAGTATGTAATATAATAACTTTAATTAATTTCTTATTCTTCTTTTGAAATTCTGTACCTGTTTTATTGTTTTATAGTGCTTTGTTTTGTCTTCTTGTGTTTTTTTCTCTTTAAAATAAAAATATTTCTTATTTTATTATTACTTGCTGTACATTATAAAAAATTATAAAATATTTCCAAATGTGTTTTGATAATTCTACATCCTTGGAAAAGTAGTACAATATCAATAATACAGACAAAAATGAAAGAGGAGACTTTTAATTTGTGAATCATAACAATAGTAAATGCTTGTATTTCTACTATCTACTCTACAGTTCTTATCAAGGTAAAATTGTCTCAAATTCATTTATCCCTCCTTTTAATGTTTATGATTTATTTAAAAGTGTGATTTGTTTGTTAGTGGTTCATACAAATCTCAGTTTTACTGTTTAAAAATGTTTATTTACTATCACACAAAATTAATAATATATTTGATGTTCCAGGAAAAATCAACATTCTACATAACTTACAGTAATCTCTGTTATTACCATGCCTTCTAAATCAATAAACATGACCAACAAAGAGAATGCAAACTCCGTTACACACTTTATCCTCCTAGGCTTCCCCTCAAGTCCAGAAAGGCAGCTGATCTACTTTGGGCTGTTCTCAGTAGCTTACATTCTGACCATCTTGGGGAACACAGCCATTGTCTCTGCTGTGCGAGCAGACCAGCACCTTCACACCCCCATGTACATCTTCTTGGGGAATTTCTCTCTCCTGGAAATATGTTACGTCACTACAACTGTCCCCAATATGTTGAAAAACTTCCTCTCTACAAACAAGTCCATATCTTTTGTAAGTTGTTTTGCACAATTCTACTTCTTCTTTTCGTTTGGGTACGATGAGGGCTTCTACCTTTGCATCATGGCCTTTGACAGGTATCTTGCCATCTGCTACCCTCTCCATTATCCATGCATCATGACTAGACAGCTCTGCACTGGCCTGCTTTTCTTTGGATGGTCCTGTGGCTTCATCCTCTTTCTAACTCCATTTGTTTTCATTTCACAGTTACCCTACTGTGGCCCAAATATTATCAATCATTTTGTGTGTGACCCTGTTCCACTGATGATGCTGTCTTGTTCTAAGGACATCACCACCCACTTCGTTTATTCTTTTTTCAATGCTTTCTTCATGATTGGTACTTTCATTTTTATCATTTGCTCTTATGCTCTCGTGATTTGGGCTGTGGTACAAATGCCTTCAGCAGCAAGCAAGCACAAGGCTTTCCTGACGTGTGCTTCTCATTTAGTAGTTGTTATCCTTTTTTATGGCTCTATTATGGTGATGTATGTTGGTCCTGAATCTGGACGCACAGTGAAGATGCAAAGAAACATTACCTTGTTTTATTCTGTGATCACGCCTCTATGCAATCCTCTAATATATAGCTTGAGAAACAAAGAGATGAAGGATGCACTGAGGAAAATGTTTAAGATTGAAAAAGTTGTCCTTAAAGTATAAGTGAAAGACAAATCACAACTCTAAATTCCAACTTTCCTTAGTAAGACCTGAGTGATGTATTTGTCTACATTCTATGACAGTTTACTGAGAACTATTCTAATAAGGGCCCGTAAGGATCTTAAACACTATTTAATATGAGATGCTAAAGTCTTGTTTGAGAAGACTATGCTTTAACACATGAACTGGAGTAAGGAAAATCTTACATGTGAAAGTCAAAATGTCAATCTGTATTGTAATTCAAATTCTGAAAATAAGACAGAGATATTGTTTTTGTACTACTGAGCTACAGTAACTAATATATACATAATAGAAAACTCAGGCAGACTGACACTACAAATTCATAATCTTTCAATGAAAAGTAGTGATGAAAGCAGAAAATTTGAGTTTGAAGGAAGTCTACCTTTCTAAAATATAGTAGGCAGTCTTCTTTTCATGGAAATAAACCCATAGCTTTAGCTAGATATTTTATAATTTTTTCAGAAAGTGCACAAGACAAGTGAGAATTCTACATATGTGTAGTTACCTTTAGTGACAGTAAGAGCTCAATATTATCAAAGGAACTGTTTACAGTAAATTCATTTTAAAGACTGCTTTTTATACCATAGTTAGTTTAGTATTGATACAGCAGTGTTTAGAACTACTACATGCATTTTAAAAATTATTTCTATAAAGTATTTGCCATGGCTGCTTCAAGTATGCCTTTTATTTTGTTCATTGACTATTTTTGAAATATAATTTCCCAAATCTTATTCAAAAGAAGCCATAATATGAAATATAATTTATAAAATTCTAATTGGTATCAGTAGTCTTCAAAACTTGTCAGTTAAGCCTGATGTCAGCCATCTTGTGTTGTGATTCTTTAACCCTGACTTCCCTTTATCTTCTTCATGCAAATTCCTAGCATTGTATAAAAAGAAAGCCATTAGAGGGATGTGTGGGCCTTTCTAGTCAAATCCTGGTGCTCTTAGTATTAATGATCCTGATATTAGGTTAAAATAAACCATATGCACTGCAGATTGAATGAAGCCACTTTTATGTTGAAGTGGCCTCTATATATGAAGCACCTTCTATGGAAATCACAGCAATTCACCCACTCTTACTGCTGCTCAGAGCCAAACTGCTGACAGTAAGTAACCAATAAAGTGTATTCTGTGCAATATTGGACTTACCTGCTTCCTTCTTTTGTCTTTTATGGGCTTGAGTCTGGTTTCCATATGCTGCAATTGTGTTGTTCCAGAATGGAATGCACTTGCTCAACAAAGTGAGGTGCAGTGTAATTGGGTTTTCTTTCACATTGGAACCCGGGTTGAAAATATTTTCTGATTAGGAAAGGCAGGATTTATGTGAAGGGAAGGCATAGTGATTTTCTTATTATGCTTCACATAAGAAATATAAATCAGGGCCAGGAAGATAACTCAGTAGAATATGTACTTCCCTGGCAAGCACAAGGGTCTGAGTTCAATGCCTAGTTCCACCAAAAAAAGAAAGAAGAAAGAAAGAAAGAAAGAAAGAAAGAAAGAAAGAGAGAGAGAGAGAGAGAGAGAGAGAGAGAGAGAGAGAGAGAGATCAAGTAGCTGAAAAATTACCTAAAAATTATTTGAAGGAAAAACATACAGGCAATTTAAAATGTTATCCAAAATGGCTTCAATGGTACCTGATGGTATTAAGGAAATTTTATGCTGTTTCCATTTTTCTTATATTTATAAAGAAAGGAATTAAAAATTAATGATACTTAACAAATTTGTGTTATTATGAAGGTATGCCTTTATGCTTGTAATTTTCTTTGTTAATCAAACCTTGTATATCCAACTTTAATTCTTTTTAAATTATTTAAACTTTTTCAGAGAATAAAAAATAGTAAAATGACATTAGAAATGTTACAAAATTTCACTAAACAAACTTACAGGAGTTCAACAATGGCAGTTATATTACATATTTTTGTCTTTGAATTAGTTGCTCAAGTTGGTCAAAAATTATTAAAAAATAAAAAATTACGTGGAGAAAAAACTTAAGCATTAACTGTTCCTCCCATTATTCAGTAGAAATCAGTGGTACAATTATTTAAGTTATCCTATTCAATTCTATCTTACATTAATCTTACTACTACTTGATAGAATTGCATGCACACCATTCTTTAAGAAGCATTTTCATAAGACATATACCTATTTCCATTGTATCTGTATCTCTTTCTCACTTCATAATTATGGTTTCATCATGGGAAGTGGAGGAAGTTTTGCTGTCTGAGGAACAGAAGTCCTCACTAACTTCACAAGTGGATTGTTTGAATATACCAATAGACAAAGTGTTCTCTGTATTAGTCACATTGGTCTAATTATCAGTGTTGTAGCTAAACAAAGTACCACCTTCAGAAATATAAGTAGAGTTTAGGTGAGGCACTAGGTGTTTTGGGGAGATGTTACTTTCATATCCAGTGGTGACAAGGAGCAAGAAAATATATACAGCCCAAATGAAACAAAGTTCTCATATTCATCTGAGATAAAAGCTTGGTAGGTGACTCTAACCACCAATTTATTTAAAACTTATGAATTATTTATGAAGATGTAAATTTACAATGAGTGGTGAAAGATGGAGTTGATGAAGATCTACAATGGCAATTCATTAACCATACTGCATGAAATCATTTTAAAAGATTCCAGGCTACTGTACCACTAAAACTCAGAAGCAAAGAAGACATAATATGAGAAAAAAATGGATCTAAACAGTCAAGTAAGAAATGACACCAAAAGATTTTTGTGGTCTGTATCACATTCATTCAGCCTACCTCTATTTTCAGCTTTCTGAACAGTTGCAAGCTTGCAGTTATAACCAGATACTTCAACTTCAAGAACTAACAACAATCTTTACAGATTCTTTCCTCTAGCCTTCACTAAAACTTCTGTAAGTCACTATGGAGGATATTCAACCTGAATATGAAAATTTTCCCATGATAACCATCAACCAGTGGTGTGGAGGAGCCATGAGACAAATGCCCCAAGTTTCTAGACATACTGACAAACTTAAACCCTAGCTCCTTTAATTTTGCACAGAAGACATTAACTTTATATCAAAATCTCACTCTCCCTGCTCATTATTTCTCTTCCACAGTTACACTCATACAATTTTGTACCAGCCTTCAGCTAAGGGTCTGATTTAGTGAACCTATGATTGTGAGATTATCTCCCACAATTAGAATAGGTAAGCATTCCTACCTATACACTTCATATTTCTTTTCATTCTAGACTTTTCCATCTTAGAAAATAAGGTACTCTATCCTTTTCATGGACAAACTCTGTACTAGTCCCTTGAATCCATCCTCTTACATATCCTTCAACATCTAAATATATTGTTTACCTTATGTTATAGTTTGGGTCTACATGTCCCTCCAAAGCCTCGTGCAGTCACAGGGTGATCTTCTAAAGTTTTTGTGATTAATTCATGATCCAATGCTAGGATTATGTGTGTGAGTACTGCACCCACTATGAGATGGTAGCCTGAATGCACTATAAGGAAGGGAAAGAGGCTGCTACTGCTGTTAACTTTTGCTCTTGCTGATTTGTTAATTTTTGGTAAGCTACATCTGCTGCTCTTTAATGTGAGCCGGGTCAAGACAGGATGAAGAGCCAGTCCTCTGCACCACCACTTGGGCTCAAACCTCGAGATAGAAGCTATGACTTCCTAGGACTTGAAAGACTGCATTAAATCTGAAGCACCAGAACCCCAAAACATTAGATACTACCTATAGCACAATGTAGACTATTTCCTCTGCATATGGCAGAGGTAAAGGTAGGCCACCCACCTAGCTCAGCTCACAGTAGTCACCTACTTCCCACAATTCTTAGTCATACCTCCTCAAGCCACTCTTAAACTGAATAAAACCGAATGTGGCCCTGGGTCAGCTTCTTTGTTCCAGAAAAGCATCAGTCATAGCTGGACTCAGGAACCCTTGGCTCCCCAATAATTCTAAATATGGTTTAGTGTCTTTACTTTCTCTGTGGGTTGCACTGGGAGTGGTAGATTGGAATTAACTTGGTAGAATTGGGATTACAAATATTAACTTCTTGGACTGAGAGGAGAACCTGGAGGGGACTGCTATACTTTATTCTGTTATAAATGATTTTCTTCATGTTTTTACAGATAAATAACATTAGCATTTATGCAGATATTTTGTTTTACATATAAAAAAGTCTAACAACCAAAACAGAATTCTTCAATTTTCAATATTTTCATTAGCAGACATCATCATGCCCCAGGGCATGATATGAACTCTTTATTTTGTGATTACTCATTAATTTGGGTGAAATCTCAGTTCTATCATAGAAATAGTTTTCTTAGGAACAGATACTGTCCCTATAAATGATGGAAAGATGACAGTGTTGAAAAATATGTTACTGTACAACTGCAAGTCAAACTCTGATTAATCTTTGATGTTTTATTTGGAATCAGCAGAAATCTAAACTAGCATTTCTAAAACCTTAATATTTATATCAATTGCCTGTATGACTTTTTAAAATGCAGATGCAGTATGCAGGATTTGGAGTTCTGCATTATTAATAGTTTCCAGGGGCCACAGTGGAAAGTGATCGATGATGTAGTGTGTGCCTAAAGAGAGCCACATGGAGAGAAAACATTCTCTCAGGCTTTCACAGAGAAGAAATTGGTCAAGCCATGGCCATGACTCATCCACATGGCTGACACTGACAAAGGATCTGCAAACTGCAGTACAGGGTTTCGGAATAAGTCCTGAGGGGACTTAACTGACTAGTCAAATACAAAAGTTACATTTCTTGATATATAGATCTTGCTTTATCATGGTCTTTACCATCCAGCAGAAAAGTGTAGAAACGAGGTATGAAAAATGAAGCCATGTTAATATGCTGAACTGTGGAAGGCTCAAGTCAACAGATTTGGATATTGCCAGTCCTGGGGATAATCCACTATGATTGTGGACTACTGGAATATATTGTAATATTTTGCTACATTCATGCATCTACAATATTTGG